GGTTCTGACTTCCCTGCAATGCTGGACCAGGGTCTTCAGCAAGTCAGCCCCAGGCAGGACAGGCACTCCCTGCTCCCCTGTACCTGGCCGGCATCACCCCTTCTTGCTGTCAGCCTCACCTGTGTGGCCACTTGAGTTTGTCAGCTCTGAGCCAAAGGGACCAACCTTCCCAGGGACAACTTTTCTATGTCAGGTCCAAGGCAATAAGATCCTTCAGTGTCGCCTCCTGTCACAGGAATAGTCCGCACACTTAATTCACACACCGAGGGTCACAGAGTTTTGAACTCAGTAAGGAAGGTGTTGAGAGGCTTAAGGGCATCTAAGCACACATCTCATAAATGCTAAGCCAAAGATAAGAAAAAAAAAAAAAAGGACATCCAGCTACGGGGCGTCCAAGAAGATCTCACTCATGTCCTGTGTTTACATGGACGAACGTGGACATTTCATACCAAAAATATTTTGAAAATTGGGCTTCTCTGGTGACTCAGTGGTAAAGAATCTGCCTGCCAATGCAGGAGATGAGGTTCGACCCCTGGGTTGGGAAGATCCCCTGGAGAAGGGAATGGCAGCCCCTCCAGTGTTCTTGCCTGGGAAAATCCCGTGGACAGAGGAACCTGGCGGGCTACAGTCCATGGGGTCACATAGTCAGACATGGCTGAGCACACACACACATGTCATGCAAAGAGGTTGGTAACTGAGGGTCCTCTTTAGAGAGTGCCTTATGTTGTATATTTAAACTGAACTTAGAAAAAGAGAAAGTATTCCGTTTTCACCTTAAACTATCCAGAAAACTTCCATCAAAAGACCTGGATTGTCTCTCTGCCAAGGGAATCAAGGCTTTGTCTAGGATGGGGGCTGTGAACCTAAGGCCCCTTCGGTGAACCATGGAGGGGTTTAATGCCTGTTAGTAGATCAATCGAGATTAATCAAGAACAATTATATTGAATTTGGACATTGCACTTACAGGAGATGGAAGTTAGACTCTGAGCCATCTCAGCCCATGGAATTCTCCAGGCCAGAGTACTGGAGTGGGTAGCCTCTCCCTTCTCCAGGGGATCTTCCTAACCCAGGGATCGAACCCAGGTCTCCCACATTGCAGGCGGATTCTCTACCAGCTGAACCACCAGGGAAGCCCAAGAATACTGGAGTGGGTAACCTATCCCTTCTCCAACAGATCTTCTCAATCCAGGAATCAATCTTCCTAACCCAGGGATCAAACCCAGGCTGCCCACTTTACAGGCAGATTCTTTACCAGCTGAGCTACCAGGGAAGCCCCTGAGCAATCTCACTGATTAGTAAAGTGGCCAATGTTCGCAAAAGAAACAGAAAATAACCTCTTGCACTGATTTACTCAAAATCTCAAAGCCTTGTTGTAAATACCCTGTCCTGAATAGTGCTGCGATGAACACTGGGGTGCATATGTCTTTTTGAATTAAGGTTTTCTGAGGTGTATGCCCAGTTGTGGGATTGCTGGATCATATCGTAGTTTTATTGCTAATTTTTTAAGGAATCTGTGTATTATTCTCCACAGTGGCTGCACCATGTTACGTTCCCACCAACAATGTAAGAGGGCTCTCTTTTCTCCACTCCCTCTCCAGCATTTATTGCTTTTAGAATTTTTCGTAATGACCATTCTGAGTGGTGTGAGATGATACCTCATAGTAGTTTTGATTTGCATTTCTCTCATAATGGGCAATGTTGAGCATCTTTTCATGTGTTTGTATGTCTTCTTTGGAGAAATGTCTGTTGAGGTCATTCACCCAATTTTTGAATGGGTTTGTTTTTCTGATATTGAGCTGCATGAGCTGTTTGTATATTTTGGAGATCAATCCCTTGTCAGTTGCTTTGTTTGCAAATATTATCTCCCATTCTGAGGGCTGTCTTTTCATCTCATTTTTGGTTTTCTTAGCCATGCAAAAAAGATGATCAGGGATGGGGGGTGTTGGAGGGTTGTCCAAGAGGGAGGGGCTAAATAGACATATGGCTGCTGACTCATTTTGTTATGCAGCAGAAGCCAACACAACATGGTAAAGCATCTATACTCCAATTAAAAAAAACAAAAAACAAAAAACAAACTTAGCTCTCTCCTCTGTCCATGGAGTTCTCCAGGCAAGAATACTGGAGTGGGTAGCCATTATCCTCTGCTAGGGGATATTCCCGACCCAGGGACTGAACCCAGATCTCCTGCACTGTAGCAGATTCCTTACTGTCTAAGCCAAGAATGGAGAATGAAATTGGGAGCCAAATGAGGCCACACAAAGGACTCTGGGCTTTCTCTTGAACTCTGGGGAAAGAGGTCTTCTGTCTTGGAGCTTACTAATTAGAACTGTCAGAGGTAGCCTCTGCCCTGCCCTCTAGGGAATGTTGGCTTGTGAATGAAACCATCTCATTAAAGAAGCAGACCTGGGCTGAGGGGGGGGTGGGGGTGGGGGTGGACAATGAAACAAACATAAACACCTGTGGATTTCTGTTGACTTCTTTGAACCCCTAGATTCAGCTGGGAACAGAAGCAAAATAGTGTTTTGATCCCCTTGGTTACCTGACCCCCAAAATGTCCCTTCACGTCTAAACCAGTCCGAGACATATTTGTCACGAGGCAGTTTCTGACTCACAGACACCGCTTGCCACCTGCGTGCTTTTGTTTAACCTTCCTAGTGAGTTCTGTGCAAAGTGTGGCAGAGCCCGCCAGGATGGTATCAGGGATCAGGGCTTTTTCTCAATGTGCCTGGCTCCTGGGGCCAGGGGTCTGCCTGAGAACCCAGATTCCCAGGGCAGGAGTGGCCCCATTTCCTTCCACACCAGGGGACCTTGGATTTTGATTTGGGGACAAACTCAGAGTCTCACAGGTCTCTCTGTGCAAATGCCCCCACATCACACAGCAATGCACGGTCCTGTGAGAGCAGGTGATGCAAGTATAAACACTTCGGACAATGCAGCTTGACCATTACTGCCTGTCCCAGCATTCCAACCTAGCTTCGGTCTTTAGCTCAGCGCCTCAGCGCCCCCGTCCAGGGCGGACCCAGGCTGGCAGTCATGGAGCCCCGTGGGAGGTCTCGGTGCCCTGGTCCAAAGGTGAACCTTCGTGCTCAGCTTTCTGATCCAGGGCCCCCCTGATGCCCCCAGTCCTGGTGTCTGGACTCTGTGTTCCCGTTTTGGTTCCCTGATCTTGTTGAGTTCCCATCCTGGGGAGAACCACAGAAATCTTGGAAGCCTCTGAAGCCTTTCCCAGAAGCGGACAGCCTTTCTTTCTACATGTGGTCAAACAGGGCTCTCTCTACCGTAGGTCGGGCTCTGAGTACACCAGGATGCCCAAGTCATGGCCCCGTCCCCCAGCAGGGTAATTGCAATGCAATGGAATAGAAACAACACAGCATGCTTTCAGGGCAGGAAGAGAAGAACCTGAATGAGCCCCAGAGAGCTTGTGGGAGGAAGCCGCAGCTAAGCTTGGTCTTAAGCAAAGAATACAAGTGGTACAGGCTGCCAGCTACAGGCTGAGGGTCCCGCAGAAACAGATGCGATGACGAGAGCACCAGAGAGCCAGCAGGAAAATACGAGCACAGAGCAGGCGCCGCGTGGAACAGAGTCCAGAGACGAGACAAGAGGGCACAGGGGAGCAGGAGACAGGTCTTGGAGGTTGGAATCAGCCTGGTGATCACAAGAGGAGGACTAAACACAGCCATAAAGGCAGAGAGGAGGCTTGACAGCATCAGCCAAGAAAGGAACAGTCATACCTGCCTTTCCAAGACTTCAGCTAGAGGTGCCATTTGGAGGGCTTTTCTGGCGATTGAAAGCAGGTATTTGTCCCATTATGAACCCTGTTTGCCACAGGGCTTCCCAATGACAGGCTCCACCCGGTGGGTCAGACATCTTGGAGGCTGACACCAACATGAGTGTGACAGATCTCAGGGAGAGAAAGATGTAAGAGTGAGCCTGGGGCTTTGGGGGACAGTCTGCATGAAGCCTAGCTACAAATGCCCAAAAGGTCCGATGACCTTGAATCACACTCACATTGGTGTCAGTCTCCAAGATGTCTGACCCGCTGGGTAGAGCCTGTGCTTTGGGTGAAGTGAGATCCCAGGTAACCAACAGGGCACCCACACTAGCCTCACAGCTGATCAGATCTCAATTCATGGCAACATCACCACACACGATTTTGCTCTGTTCCTTCGTTCTGCAAAGGATCCGAATGGCTAACTGGATTCCCTGCGATGACAACCTTGGCTCCATGGCCTTTCCAAGTTCACACCCATATTTTGTTGCTGTTTTCTGTTTTAAACCACTGTAATAGCCGATGCGTAATTTTTAGGCACTCTGCTCACCAGATCCTGTGCCAAGAACTCAGGACACAAAGGTAAACAGGACACAATTCTGACACCAAGGAGCTCAAACCTGTCGCAGCAAATATTTAATCACGTTTTTCAATGAAGAACTGAAATGCCAAGAGGTTACCTGATCTTTCCCGAGACCACGTAGCTCCCTGGTAACCCCAGGACGTGTTCTGAGTTAGAAGTCAGCACCCCAGATCCCCTGGCGTGTTGCGTCGCCGCCATCCCAGTATTAATCTGGGGCGCCATGGAGAAATCACCTCTGGGGACAAGCTAATCCGACTCTGGTCTGCTGCTGACGCCTCTGAGAGCCTGAGCCAGAATCCCCCAGCTGCTAGATTCTCTAGGAAACCAGCTCCCCGATTTTAGAGGTGGCTTTCTGACCAAAGTGCATCATCGGACTAGCTCACGCTTCTTAAAAAGGAATTAGAGAAAAGGCAACAGCATTCAGCCATCAATCTGCCTGATGGCAGCATCCAGTCCCAGCAGACTGACTTCCGCTCTCCTAACACGGCAGAGACAGGACCTCAGAGCCCGCGGCCGGCCTCACCTGAGCTAGGTCTCAGCCCAGGCTCCCTTTGTCCCAGCAGCAGTGGGCTCCAGCTGGGAGAGATCCGTGCTCCAAAGTGGCTGGTCTGGGAATCATGGATGCAGCTTCTCATTTCCCTTCTCCAGGCGATCGTCAAAGCCTCTTCCAAGCTGCGGAGCGAAACCTAGATGTGGAAACCCTCTCCAGGGCCGCCTGGGCGCCTGGCATTGCTTGGCACACGCAGCCCCGGCCGGGCTCCAGCCAGACTGCTGACCTCGCGCTGGCGCTGTGTGATATAACTCGCTCGCACGGGGAGGCGTTAACTGTCTCGTGCCCAAGCTCTGAGCCCTCACGTGTCTCCAAGATGCAGGCTCCTGCGATGCCACTGTTCTGACGCCCGGTCTGCTCTCTGCCAGGGCTCCAGCCATGCAGGGGTTCACAACCCATCCCCTGCAAAAATGCCAGCCAAGAAATCATCGTGTTCAGCTACGATGAATCTCAAGGCTTCTGTTAAAGTACCTCTCCTTTATTTATGAAGCCAATAAAATATGTTTTCAGCATTAAGGTATGTGTCAAGATTCTAGTGTTTTCCCATAAATACCTATTCATCGAAGTCATTTTAATCTTAAAAAAAAAAAAAACCAGCAACCATTCCTTCATTCCTGCATGTCATGTTCTCATTTGATTTATATGAGTTTAAACTCCATATGGAGAGGATATGGTTGACTGGGGAGACATGGGTATTTTTTTTAAATGAAACCACATAGGAAATTAATAATGCACATTAGAATAGGGATTATGTTATTGGAGGAACGTGAGAGACACAGCAGAAGGGCATAGACCTGAGACCAGGGAGACCTGGATCCCGGTGTCAGGTCTAATAGTCACTGAACTGTGCAGATTCATGCCACTGACGTGGTTCTCCAGCTGCACTATGCCCACAGGCTTGCAAGCAGTTAGGCTAGGGGGTTGCCAAAGTCCCTTCAGCGTCACCCTTATAATAACTTTCCTTAAAAGCCATCTTCTTGTAGCTTTCAAGGCAGCATGGCCAACAGATGGGCAATCACTGGAGTTACTGAAGACTCACAGATATCAAGTCACCACCATGCCCCTTCTGAGCTCTGTGACCCCACCAGATCTTGGAAGATGTAGGTGTGTCAGCATCCTCGTCTACACGACAGGAAAGCAGTACCTGATGCTGGGCTGGTCCAGGTGCCGAATGAACTAACTGAGTTGACGCATGCAAAACCACTGTGGACAGGACTCACTCCATGTCAATGTGACCTGTCTTAATTACTCAGCTCCATGGTCCACCCAGCTCTTCCCCAGCTATCTTTATGGTTATTCAGTTACAAAGTCACTTCCTACTCTTGGTGACCCCATGCACTCCAGCACACCACACCTCCCTGTCCTTCATCACCTCCCAGAGCCTGTTAAAACTCATGTCCATCCCGTCAGTGATTCCATCCAACCATCTCATCCTCTGCCATCCCCTTCTCCTCCCTCCTTCAATCTTTCCCAGCATTGGGGTCTTTTCAAATGAGTCAGCTCTTTGAATCAGGTGGTCAAAGTATTGGAACTTCAGCATCTGTCCTCCCAATGAATATTCAAGGTTGATTTCCTTTATGATGGACTCATTTGATCTTCTTGCTATCCAATGGACTCTCAAGAGTCTTCTCCAGCACCACAGTTTGAAGGCATCGATTCTTCAGAACTCAGCTTTCTTTATGGTCCAACTCTCGCATCCATACATGACTACTGGAAAAACTATAGCTTTGACTAGATGGACCTTTGTTGGTAAAGAAATGTCTCTGCTTTTTAACATGCTGTCTAGGTTGGTCATAGCTTTTCTTCCAAGGAGTAAGTGTCTTTTAATTTCATGGCTGCATTCACCATCTGCAGTGATTTTGGAACTCCCCCAAAATGAAGTCTCTTACTCTTTCCATTGTTTCCCCATCTATTTGCCATGAAGTGATGGGGACAGATGGCATGATCTTAGTTTTCTGAATGTTGAGTCTTAAGCCAACATTTTCACTCTCCTCTTTCACTTTCATCAAGAGGCTCTTTAGTTCTTCACTTTCTTCCATAAGGGTGGTATCATCTGCATATCTGAGGTTATTGATATTTCTCCTGGCAATGTTGATTCCAGCTTGTGCTTCATCCAGTCCAGCGTTTATCATGATATATTCTTCATATAAGTTAAATAAACAGGTTGACAATACACAGCCTTGATGTACTCCTTTCCCAATTTGGAACCAGTCTGTTGTTCCATGTCCAGTTCTAACTGTTGCTTCTTGACCTCCATACAAATTTCTCAGGAGGCAGGTCAGGTGGTCTGGTATTCCCATCTCTTTCAGAATTTTCTACAGTTTGTTGTTATTCACTCAGTCAAAGGCTTTGGTGTAGTCAATAAAGCAAAGGTAGATGTTTTTCTGGAACTCTCTTGCTTTTTCAATGACCCAGCGGATGTTTGCAATTTAATCTCTGGTTCCTCTGCCTTTTCTAAAACCAACTTGAACATCTGGAAGTTCACGGTTCAGACACTGTTGAAGCCTAGCTTGTAGAATTTTAAGCATTACTTTGCTAGCGTGTGAGATGAGTGAAATTGTGCAGTAGTTTGAGCATTCTTGGGTATTGCCTTTCTTTGGGATTGGAATGAAAACTGACCTTTCCCAGTCCTGTGGCCACTGCTGAGTTTTCCAAATTTGCTGGCATATTGAGTGCAGCACTTTCACAGCATCATCTTTTAGGATTTGAAATAGTTCAACTAGAATTCCATCACCTCCACTAGCTTTGTTCATAGTGATGCTTCCTAAAGCCCATTTGACTTCACATTCCAGGATGTCTGGCTCTAGGTGAGTGTTCATACCATCAGGGTTATCTGGGTCATGAAGATCTTTTTTGTACAGTTCTTCTGTGTATTCTTGCCACATCTTCTTAATATCTTCTGCTTCTGTTAGGTCCATACCATTTCTTTCCTTTATTGAGCCCATCTTTGCATGAAATGTTCCCTTGATATCTCTAATTTTCTTGAAGAGATCTCTAATCTTTCCCATTCTATTGTTTTCCTCTGTTTCTTTGCATTGATCACTGAGGAAGTCTTTCTTATCTCTCCCTGCTATTCTTTGGAACTCTGCATTCAGATGGGAATATCTTTCATTTCCTCCTTTATATGTTAGTGAAGTGAAAGTCACTCAGTTGTGTCTGTGACCCCATGAACTTTACAGTCCGTGGAATTCTCCAGGCCAGAATACTGGAGTGGATGGCCTTTCCATTCTCCAGGGGATCTTCCCAACCCAGGGATTGACCCTAGGTCTCCCACATTGCAGGTGGATTCTTTGCCAGCTGAGCCACAAGGGAAGCCCACATATGTTAAAGTGAAAGAAAGTGAAAGTCACTCAGTCCTGTCTGTGACCCCATGGACTACACAGTCCATGGAATTCTCCAGGCCAGAAGACTGGAGTGGGTTGCTTTTCCCTTCTCCAGAGGATCTTCCCAACCCAGGGATTGAACCCAGGTCTCCCACATCGCAGGCAGATTCTTTGCCAGTTTAGCCACAAGGGAAGCCAAGGCGTTAACTATGTGCTAAATACTTTCCTAGACTTGAATGAAGAGTTGCAGGAAAAATAAATGTCTGTTCTCATGGAAGCTAGCAGACAAATAAAGACTTTCAAAAACACCACACAAATATGACATATATGCACAGGTAACAAAGGCAATTGTCACCATGAACTGATTAATTCCTGTCACTAGTAGCTATTGTTCTCGCTCTGTATTATACCCTACCATGTCTGGAGAATGGATTATGAAGCTACATAAAACACAGCTCAAGCCTTTGGGCAATGGTAGGATAAGAAAATGTAGTAAACAAGTGAGTGCAATAAAATACTATTTATGCAGAAAAGATTTAGACAGTGTGCTATATATTCATAATTTGATATTGAGCAAAACTGATATCATCTCATGTAACTAACATTCTAGAAAAGATAAGACACAAAATGAGAAAAGTAAGAATACCGTAGAGGCAGGAGGAAGACCAAGGGGTTCCAGGGTGGGTGTTCTTCTCTTATATAGAGGGAATATTTGTGATTTTAAAGACATGCTTCTAAGTCCTTTGGCACTCCACTCCTAACATGTGGAGTCCAACTCACCTCCTTTTGAATACATGTTGGCGTCACTAACTCACTTCTAACTGAGCGTGACAGAGGTGATATCATGTGACTCAAGAGGAGAGCTCATCAAAAGTAAGACTGCTTTACTTGGCCCTCTGGGCCTTGAGACCCTGCCCTGGGAACCTGGGCACCATATTGTGGTGAAGCTCAGGTGACCTGACTAGGTACCATGCAGGGGTCCTGGTCGAAAGACCCAGCTGAGGCTGTAACCAGTGACCACATCAGTCACCAGATCTGAGTGGGTGAGCTTCTCAATGATGCCAACCTTCAAGCAGCAAAGGAGCCTTACCTCCATCAAGTCCCACCTAAGTTTCAGGTCTGTGAGTGGAATGGGCGTGACCATTGTTTCAAGATACACAGCTCTGGGGTGATTTGTCACACAGCTAGAGTCACCTGAGCCATGATCAGGTGGGTTTGATAACTTTCTGCATGTTGACCGTGGCTACGAGAAATATCAACAACCTCAGATAAGCAAAGATACCAGTCTAATGCCAGGAAGTGAAGAAAAACTAGTCTCTTGATGAAGGTGAAAAAGCTGGCTTGAAACTCAAAATTCAAAAAAAACTAAGGTTGTGGCATTTGGTCCCATCACTTCATGGCAAATAGAAGGGGAAAAATGAAAACAGTGGCAAACTTTATTTTGTGGGGTTCCAAAATCACCACAGATGGTGACTGCAGCAATGAAATTAAAAGACGCTTGCTCCTTGGAAGGAAAGCTATGACAAACCTCTTGGTGGTGGTGGTGTTCTGTCACTAAGTCATGTTTGACTCTTTGCAATCCCATGCACCGCAGCACTCCAGGCTTTCACTCTCTCCCAGAGTTTGGTCAAAGTTGTGGTCGTTGAGTTGGTGATGCTGTTTAACCAGCCCCTCCTTTTCCCCCCACTTCTTTTGCCTTCAACCTTTCCCATCATCAAGATCTGTTCTATGAGTCAGTTCTTCACATCAGGGGGCCGAAATACTGGAGTTTCAGTCTCATCAGGCCTTCCAATGAATATTCAGGGTTGATTTCCTTTAGGATGGACTGGTCTGATCTCCTTGCAGTCCAAGGGACTCTCAAGAGTCTTCTTCAGAACCACAGTTCAAAAACATCAATTCTTTGGCTCTCAACCTTCTTTATGGTCCAACTCTCACATCCATACATGACTACTGGAAAAACCATGCCTTTGACTATATGGACCTTTGTCAGCAAAGTGGCATCTCTAGGAGTATTAGGAAGCAA